ACTGCGTGAAGGTAGGTGATGTATTAATGAAGTTGGCTAGTTTATCTTTAGAAAATCCAGTAAACCTTCTTAGTTTCAAAGAGCTTGAGTGTCCACTTAATACTGTGGAGCCGCATGAAGGCAAATTCATGTAAACCAAAGAATTGTTTCACTGTGGTGCAAAATTAAAGCATTAGAGCTTCAATCCTCAATTTATGTCTGGAAGAGAAACCTCATAGATCTTATGAACTGTTTTCCCTGTATGTAGTATATCCTAATATAAATTCCAAGGCTCATCTGTGTTTGTAGCTGCTTCTAGAGCATATTCTCTTTGTGTTTTCAGAATCTGGAAGAACAGATGGTAAAAGTTTAGTCTAAATAAACTGAGTCCCAACCAGGGCTCTCCACATGAATAAATCCTGGATGTTTAAAACCACAGAGAATCCAGGAGACATTGATTAGCTCTAACAATCACATCTCTAGCCTTGCCCTACTGCATCCTGAAGTGATACCTTTCTGTATGGGAAGTTTCTGAGAAAATTCCCATCAACTAAGACTGCTATGAGCAAGGGAACAAATTGTGCAGAAGGCGTATATATGCTGGAGCAGCCATGGAAGAACAAGCTGCAACAGACACTGGGCTTTCACACAAATCCTGGCTCTTCTGAGAAGTTGTACAGACTGCTCCACACTGCCTTGGCTGGAAGGCTGAACAACAGACGAGGTCATTGCTTCTTATGCTTCTCCAGGTCTTAGCCTGGTCCTCCCTGGGTAGCCTCAACTGGAAAAAAGAAAGGAAAAATCCCCAAATCCATCAGCAATAGCCTGAAGGGTGTCAGTACTGTTTAGGTCTCCTAAATTATTCTTTACACAGTAGCTGAGTCATGCTGCAATAGGAATAAGTTTAATTCTTGGAGTATGGAGTTTATTGTGCTGATTAGAGTAAGGTGCACTTTATGCTGCGCTTGTGTCTTTCATGCCCTGCTGGGAACAATGAGCATTTTGGCACTTTCTATGGGATAATTTCAGTGTGATTTTTAAGGCTGCAGTAGGTTTCAGTGTGAGATGCTGAGTATTCATAATTTCTAAAAATTAGATTATTTAATTAGGAACCCATGAATTTTAGGAGCTTAAGTTTAGGATCACTTCTAAAAATCATGGCTTGGTTTAACATGAAACAAATCTTTGGACAACCCTGGACTTCTGGAAAATGAGTTCAGCAGTGGAGATGAACTGGGGTTATATGCTGCTCCAACCTATCATCGGTCAGGTTCCTGTAGGAAGTGAAAGGGAAAGTGGTGAAGGGGAGTCTGTGCACTGCTGACAGCATCTGGATCCCCCCCTGCCCCAGTCATCAAGGCTGGAGCAGTGCAATTGCACAGACTGTTTGCTGGCTCAGGTCACCTGCTTAGCGTGGTGGTTAGTGTAGCAGGTTGAGGGGTACTACGATAACTTTCTAAGTAATGAGAAGTCATTGATGGGCCTAGAAACCATCTGGAAAGCCCCAAGGACAGAATGGATTTCTGTAAAGGTCTTCCTTACATTGTGTTGAATTTTTTTTCTTAAGCACCTAGTGAAAGCCTTTGAGGTCATTCAGACAATACTCATGATACAACCATTTCTAAATCTTTCAAAGAGCCACATTAAATCAGTAATGAGATGTGGCTATTTTTAAGGGCACCAATGAATCTGTCTATGTTTTTTCTTTTAATAAACCTTGTTAACCAGGGTTAAAGTGGTTTCAGAAAATGGTGCCAAGTGTCTAGGGAATAAATCAGTTTTCTTCAGACTTCTGATTAAGGCGGGATGTACAACCAGCTTAAAAGTATATTAATGTTATTACTGTGTTTATGCAGATGTATTCAAACTGTGTTTTGGACTGTATATTAATGGTACACACTAAGTGTGCCAGCATTTGTTCACTGTGGTTGTTGAATGATTGTGAAAGAATATTCAAAATTACTTTATAAATGTATGTACAGGAGATGAAAACTTCTGTAAAATGGCCATAAGAGTGTTATTCCTTGGGAATTTTATCTGGAATTTGGTTATGGACATATGCAAGTAGTGCTTATGTGGTTTTTGAAGTGAAAGTTAATTGTTGGCAAAGGTGGTTTAGTTACTCTCCCAGAGCACCTGAACTACACTGAGTCAGGGAATCTGCATCGGTCTTCATGCCTCTGTATACTGAACTCCTCTTCCAGGGCTTGAAAATCTCATTTTAGGGATAGACCACTGCCTTCTCCCATGAACCAGGTCAGTGTGAAACCCTGCCGGATGCTGTTGTATGGGGGGGCTTGGGCAGAGGTGAAGGGTTTTTGTTCTGAAGCAAATTTAAAGTTTGAGGGTTCATGGCAGATTATCCATTACTGATGTTCAGGCTTGTAAATACCAGTGTCTCAGTGTTTGCAAACAGATCCTTGCAGTAAACAAAATAGTTAAGAAACAGAACAGTGGTTGTGTGTGTTTTTGTGGTGGTGTGTGGTTTTTTGGTTTTTGTTTTGTTTTTTTTTTTTTTTTTTTTTCCTTTGCATAGGCCTGATGGTTCATTCAGCAGAAACTAGAGTACTTGTTTCAAGTGTCCACATTAGCTTCCATCAGAAAAGGTGCTCCAGTCACTTCTCAAATCAACAGCTGCAGCAGCATGGCTCTCAGAGTACCAGGAGGCAAACGTGCCTGGACCACAAAATGGTAAGAAAGCAACACTACTGTCCTACCTCTGTTTAGTTAGTTATGGTTAAATGTGAGCTCTCCTATGGGTGAGGGAGCTTTCCCTCTAGGAGCTGCCGCAGGCTGTGGGATTATGCACAAAAGGGGGAAAAAAGATAGGGGGGTTTGTATTTAGGGTGTGCACTGGTGCTCTGCAGCTATTGTCTGCGTGCTGGCACCCTCCCAGGAGTGAGTGTAAGCTAGTGTGCCTGTGCTTTTGAAGGCTAAGCTCTCTTGTCCTTCCTATAAGAAAAGAACATGCAGAAGGATTGATTGTATGATATTGCTGACTAGCTCTGAAAGTGTCATGTTTGCCTTGCTGAGAATGGACTCTAGCCTTTCTTAAGGGTTTTTGTTCCTGTAGTTAAAATACGTGAGCACTTGCTCTTAACTTTAGCTATAGTGAAGTGCCTAAAGGATATTGCAGTGTGTTTGACCCACCTGCCTTTGGACATGATCTATACTTAGGTAGAAGTTATATAGTTCATGTATTCTTGCATCATATTGGTTTCTTTTTGAAGAACTATTGAAATTGTTTTGGGTGTGGATACCATGCGAAGGGGGAAAAGGACTTCATAAAATTTTGCTAGCCGAAGGGGTAGGGAAAGTAAAGTTTTCATCTTAAAATGAAGGTAAGCCAGAGAAGGTGAAAGAGACAACTGGGTGAAAAAATTGAATAGCTGGTGAAGGAGGGAGAGATGAAATAAAGAAGACTGAAGAACTTATATCTTCAGTTTTCCACACTTCTGTAAATATCAGGCTTGTGTTGCTTTTATTGCTTAGCAAACAGAGCTGTAGAAGGATTAGCCCTTCAGCTTTGGTCCTTTTTCTTAATTTTCTTTAAATCTGGTCAACCTTCAGCTGGCAGCAGTGGCTCCCTTTAGGCCTATGGAATACTTAAGTTTTTACAGTGCAGTAGTAGTGTCAGGGATATGGCTCTAGCAAAGTTTTTAGGAGTGTTCTTCGAGCTAATTCTTAGTTTCTCATGCTACTGGAAAATACTTAATTTGGGTTTTAGTCTGCACTTGCTATGAATATCTTCCTGATCTTTTTCAATTTGATATCTTCCTTGGTGCTGATTCTTTCCCCCCTTGCTCCCCCTTTCCTTCCTTCATCATTCATTTCCTTTTCTCTCTTATATTTTCATTTCCAGCCAGGCATGTATTCTAAAGTACTGGGCTATATTTAGAAGGAACTGTATCTCTGGAATAAGAAATCTCATTATGCTTTTGGGATATTACCCCATTTCAACTTGCTTGTGTCTAACTTGTCCTAGACCTGCATAATGCCTAGTATCATGGCATAAGGTTATTTCTTTCAGTGTTTAGATTGTTAGCTGTAGTGCCCTCTCTAGTTTCAAATCCTTATTGAATGAAGTACCAGTATTTGCTTTATGTCTATCTGCCTTTGCTGTAGCACGCCAGAAATAGACAGCTATGTGGTAAAGAACGATGTAGAACAGTAGCTGGAAAACACTCCTGGGTATTCTCTACTGCTTCTGGCACCAGAATTTCAAGCTCTGTCAGGTCCTCAGAAGGATGATGTTAATTTGACTTGCACAGTTTTGTCATCCTCTGAGGCCTGAAAGGATACTTGTTCTTCCATACCTCAGATCTGATTTTTGTAGGGGAATCATGTTAACCAGTGATAATGAATTAAGTGGGGGAAATGTTGCCTCTGCTTTGACAGTGGTAAAGAAAAGGTGTATTTGTGAGCAGAATAATTCCTATTACACATATCGTGCAGCAGAGCTTGTGCAGCACTCGCTGCTGCCTCTGGTGTGCAGAGGGAAGGCTGCCCAGAGCCAGGGTGGGCTGGTGTGGGAGGAAGCCAATGTGGTGGTTAGCAGTGGGAGAGCTGGAAGTGTGTAACTGGAAACATGAAGACTGTGGGTTTTTCTTGCAGAATTCCATGGAAATATGAGACAGTCGTGGCTGGTGGCTTTTCTAGTAGTGCAGCTGTAGTGGGCCCATGCTGATAGTGCCAAGGAGCTGTTAGAAACAAAGTTGGAGATGGAGACTTGACACACCTTGGGTTGACTGTAGGAAAGTCCCTTTTGTGCTTTTCATATGGGAAAGATAAACCTGGGCCATTGGTTGGCACCATGAAGCTGACAGACATTATATTTTGCCTTTTGAAGAATTTGTCTGTGCTTAACACATGCCTGGATGTCCAGTGGGTTGTTTTAAATCTGGAGGTGTGACTTGCACCACCAGGCTGTTGAAGGGGATATTTGCTTGGCTGATGTCTGTCATTGCACTACGCTCTCCTCCTATCACTTGAAAGGGACAAATAAAGAGCAAGACAAGTACTGCGTTGTCAGACAAAGATTTCTTTCATACTGTTCAGAAACTTGCATTCCAGTATGTGATTATGATGGGGGGCGGGGGGGGGGAAACAAACAAACAAAAAACCCCCAAAACCCAGAAAACAACAAAAAAAAACCCCAACCCCAAACACCACCCCCAACAACAAACTGGTATTAAAGGAAAAACATGTTCAGGTGTTTTGTCTAACAACTAAACAGTAATATCTACCATAGGAACTAATCATTGAGCTAAAGGAAGGGAGGGGATTTAATGATCTGAAAATTTGACTGGTATTGTGACCAAGGCTGTGGGTTAAACTAACATTTGCTTAGGGAATTTGGATCAATTGGAGAATTTTCAAGTTCTGAAAGACTGTTTATAAAATAAAAATGTTGACAAGTCTTTTACAGTTCACTGAACAGAACTCATGTCTGTTGGGATTATATTGCCAGAGATGAGCTTTCTTCTGCTAAGTTATTTAAAATGCTCAGAACTGGTTTGCTTTAAGATGTTGAAAAGATCTATTTTCCATTTCACTGGAAGGAAGTAGGGGAAAATCAATTTTGTCTTTAGAAGTAGTTTCCAATCTCTAAAGTGGGTATTTAGGATATTTTATTTGTTATCTGAAGTCCATAACTAATATTTCTATCTGTGAAAACAAAAAAATTTTTAAACATATGTAATGTTAATGTGCATCTGAAATATGCTTATTGCTGCATTTATGTTGTACCCACATTTACACAGCAATCAGGATGTTACATGCTCAGTGTTACTTGATGGCTGACAGGAAAATACATACCAGCTTTAAAAGGAAAGACAGACCTATTGCACAGACTATCCTCAGCCCAGCAAGGCACTAGTAAGTTGCTAGGTGGAAAGAGTGTGAACTGGCCTCATGGCTTCAACGCAGTTAGTTTAGCAGCTTAAGTTATGCACAGGGTTAATCAGTTTGCTGAAGACAGCCCTAATGTGGTTATTGTGAAAAAGGTTGAGCTTTAACATAGCAACATAAATGTTTGCTTCCAATGGTCCCTGCTTTCAGTGAGGCTACCAAGCTCTGCGCTTCTCTGCAAAAGTTATCATAGTGACCTGATATTTTTAGTACAGTGACTTTTTGGACTGGCTCAGCTGCATAGACAGGATTCATTCTGCTGCTTCCAACCTTAGCCAAATACACTCTGCAGTTCAGTATGAAATTTCAGTTATTACTTCTGAAACATGAAAGGTTTAGCAATATTGCAGATTTCCATCTTTCCTAACATTTTGGCCTTCATACTGAGTATACAGTCACTACATTTTGACAATATATTTTGCATTTAATTTTCAAAGCAGTGTTTTATTAGATTAACTCAGATAGGAAGAATAGCTTCACATTTATCAGGATAGTGACTTGCATGTTCAGTCAAACACTGTGTGATATTGAGTAGTTTAAATCTCCAGTGTATGAACTATAAATTAACATCAAAGGCCTCTTAACATCTATTAGTCTGTTTAAACAGTGATGCAGAATTATTTGTTGCCAGTTATTTCTACTTGAATACAAGTATATCATCTGTTCTAATGTTGTTTTAACTATCTTGATCTGCAAGCCTTGAAAAGAATATCTTACAATTAAGAAATGGCAAACCTGCATAGCATAATGGTAATAAAAGTCTCAATTATCCATTTAGTTGAAGTTTTAGGTTTGCTTGCAGCTCAAATTACCAATTTTACTAAAATCCAATGATACTTTGGTTGCTGAGCATGGTCCTGGAGGATAAGTACTCGTCCTGCTGGGACCATTGATTTAAGCCTCTTGATAGTCTTGGCATAAAAAACTGACCTGTGAAGATGTGAAGTATGGACTCTTCTGTTGCAAGGGATGACCTCCTTTGCCAAGTAAAGTAACAGTTTCAGGCATCCAGGCAGAACAGTGTGGAGAGTACTCACTACAGATTTTTTTGAGAAACAGAATTTCAGACCCTCAAGCTCTCCATTTATCATATTTCATAAGTATAAGAAATTTGGACATGGGCACAAGAAATAAATCAGTAAAAACCTCGTAGAGTATGCTGCAGGATGCGTTTCAGAGTAGAATCTAAGAGGAGAACTGTTGGTGAAAAGCTTGTCATTTCCAGTTCATGTAGCACTTGTGAGAAAGAGCTTTGCATCTTCGTAATACTGCAGCAGTTTATTGATTGTTCACTATAATCTAAGAACTGGGATCTGTGCTTCCCAAGGAGCTTAGGAAGCCTGGTGACATGCACTCAATTCTTCTGAAAATTTAAATCTGAAACGCTGGCTATTGAAATCAGGACTGTGTTAGCACCCATTCATGATTATACCTTCTCACTGTGTTGCCACATATTCACCTCAGTGCAGTGTGTCTGTCATCTCATCCTGCCTCCTTTGCTGTCTCCCACTGCATGCTGTAGTGTGCACAGTACTAGGCCATAAAACCTTATTTCCTCATCCATTCTCCATTCCTTCTTGCAGCCTGCTGCACATATTTTCCTTCATGTGGCTAAAGAAGGCAAAGCAGGGAGTTGGTAAATCATTAGTTCTTCTCAAAATTTATCATGCTGGAATATTTGTTTTAAACCACATGGGGATTAAGATCCTTTGCAGTTCCTTGATTACTGTTTAGGGGAAAATAAAATGCCAGTTTAAGCTTCTGATCTTTCATAACAACATTTAGAACTCGTGTTCAAAATTATGCTTAAAACAGCTGTTCTAGCGTCACATTTAACCAGAAATTAATTAGCCTGGAAAAGAATGACTAAAACTTGATTGTATTTAAGTTTGTATTTCAGCTTCCATCTGTAGTGAAATCAAGACCTATTCAGCTTTATGATCATTTATGGAGATGGCTTGATTTTTATTTGTAGAAATTACAAATTTCTTGCTTGCTAATTGTCTTGTATATTAAGAATGACCTTATTTAAAAACTTCTCATGGTTTAACTTTCTTAGTAGGAACATTATCATACATAGCTAGTTGAAACCTCTGTGGTGAGAAAAGGCACGTGCTCTAATAACAAAAGCCTGGCTCTATTCCTATGTTTGCACTACTTAGCTAATATGTGCAAAAGCTGATCTGTGCTAGTGCTTGATAAAACTATATGGCAGCTAGCCGTATGTATAGCTGACCAGTTGTTTATCCAGTTACTGAGTTTATGAAACCACAATTAATACTTAAACTCTCCTCTTTTTTTTTTTTTTTTTTTTTTAGTTCTTTTATATCTAACCACCACTGTCTTTATCACTGATGTGATACTGAGTGTCCAGCACAAATATAGATGGACAAATTTATCCTTGGAGCAGCCAGTCCTGTGATATACCTGTTTTGCAGAAATATTTGATTAGGAATATCTCACTTTCCTTGGACAATACAAAATGAAACAGCTGACTTCTTAAAGCATACGTTTAGAATGATCTTGCAAAACAAAAATTTTCCCAGCATGTAAGCTTTGTGTGCTGTGGAGCTGTAATGACAAATGCTTTGTGGAATAACTTCTGTCCAAGTAGTGGTCATGGCCGTTCAATGCTGAAATAGAAGGGGTTCTGTTGCTGATTCAATAGACTTCAATGTCTCCTACTAACAGTATTCAGTTTGTGACATCCTGGTGCAACCTTATATGGACTAAACTATAAGTAACATTTAGAAAGCCAATGTTGGGCTGGTTGTCAGGAAAAGTCTATACTGTGAGCACAAAGGAGCTTGCTTTATCAAGACTGAGGTGCTGCAGTGCATATTTTAAGTACTTTTAGATAACATACTAACTGAATAAAGAAACTTCTATGTCTTCCTTATAAATGTAATAGTCATTGGAGTAATAGCTGTCTGTGGATCCATTCAGGATGAGCTGTAAAAAAAGTGCTGTCATCAGGTGAGCATGAATATGTTAGGAAGCTATTTCTCTGTGTTCCAGCTGACTATAAGCACTGTAAGCAACATTTGAAGGCCTGTGTATATGTGAAGCGGCATGGTACAGTAAACTGTTACCTAAGACAGCACATGACTAATGGATTTATGGACAACTGTCGGTGCCTTACATCTTTTTATTAAAAACTACTGCAGTCAGGCCACCTGCATATAGTTGTAGGTATATGGATAATGGTAAGGTCTTTCCTGGGGGTAGCAGGCATTTAGTTGGTAAAACCTAAGATTTCTTTTATTTTTGTGCTTAATACGTTATCTAGCCTCTCGGTGACATAATATTATCTTTAATTTATTGGTTTTAGTCTTATTTCTTGTGATTAACATTACACTGTTCATGCCAATGAATTCATCTGGGGTTGACCTGCAGTGTGTTCAAGCTGGAGCTTGTACCCTCCTAGTCCTAGGTCTCCTTCATGAATATCTTCCTTGCTTGTAGCCTGGGTAGAGCCTGTTTTGTCCTGTGTTGGCACTGGTATGTGAGCAGATGACTCATAGTTTTCAGTCAATTCATCATTATTTATGATATAATCTGTGTCGTCATCCTTCAGTTGATCCTGTATTCAAACAAAAAGAAAGATCAGGGCAAGACAGATTCTTGAGGAGGATTTTTGTTAAAGTTTAGGTGAAGAACATGCATTATGCAATTGCACTTTAATTTTATTTCATTTTTTGCTTTTTTCAGGTGTTACTTTAGCATCTTGATGTCAATTAAAGCAAAAAGTTGCTTACTGTGTTCTGTTCTCAAGCAGTGTTGAGAAACATAATCTACCCTTCAGATTTTTAAGATAATTTCTCAGTGCTTAGGTATCTCTGGATAGCCAATACTTTCAGCATCTGGCTGAATTATTTAGAACATGTCACTCATATTTGAAGCTCACGGTATTGGTGGCCATTCTTGAAAATGTAGCACTGCATCTTCCAAGACTTCTTCTCCCCAACTCTGAAGAAATGGTATAATTCTTAGCCTTAAAAGTAATAAGCTTTGAAAAGGGGACTTTACCAAAATGTTTAATTGAGTATGTCATAGTTTGGATTGCACCTTAAATTAAAATAACTAAGTTTAGGTACTTACACCATATGCATTGGGGCTGGTCAGAAGTCTGGCAACAGGATTACACCACTCAGGTAATGTTGTTGTGAGAGGTGGACCGGCATGGGTTAAGATAGGTTTTAGGTATCTGAAATTTGTTAAAGAATATTTCCCATACAGATATTGGTACTAACATGCTTCTCTATTATGCAAAGAAACTTCACTTTAAAGCATTAGGGAATCATCTAACTGAATAGAAATATAGAAAATACCATCTCTTTACCCACCCATTACTACATACATTCACCTCTCATCAGTCTTGTCTGATCTTTTTCAGTAAGAAAAACAGAAAGGCCCAAGCCCCTAAAACCAAAACCCAAAACACTTAATGCTCAAAATCTGTATTGAAGGGTACCAGAGTGGCTGAAGGGGATGTCGTGGGGTACGTAATTGCAGTAGGAGCTGGAAGAGAGGAAATGTGTACTAGACTATCCTCTTTACTATTTTCATGTACTGTTTGCTCTAAGTGTGATCTCTTATGCAATTTTAACAGGAAACAATTTAAGATGCAACTGTATCAGCTACTTTTATGTAGGAACAGTACCAAACATTTTCTTAAACACATACACTCAGCCTTTTGTGAAATCAGTGCTTTTCTTCAATAGGCAAAGTGTATTTCATCAAATATTAAGTTTCTTTATTTCTGTGAGTGTACATAAGTTGTTCTCTGTAATACTTTATTTTCAGCGTTTGCATTTGTTTTACGCTTCATACATCAATGCTCCTTTATATAAAATTATGTAAATATGTTAGGAACAGGTTTTATGCTATTGTCTCGCACCTGTCTTTCCAATCTTTTCATCTCAAAGTGCTTTATTGAGATAAAAGAAAAACCTGCTCATCGTGAGCAATTATTATCCTCGTATCTGTCAATAACAGCTCTCCTGTGAGTCCTTCAAGTTGACTTACCTGCTCTGCTACTTTTACTCGCAAAGTAATTTTCAGTGTTCTTTGGGAAGAAGGTCTACCAGCTATTTTTGCTGCCAGGGAACATTTGCTTTATTGATTGTTGTCCCACTCTCTCCCTCCTGCTCCTTTCTTGCTTGCACTCCCTCACTCTTTCTACCTTCTTAAAAAAAGGAACAAATGTAAGACTGAGTAGTGATTTGAGCTTTGCAGCAATATTGTAGATGCACTGAGTAAGTAACAGTGGGTCTTAAATCTAACCATTCTAGTACCTCCTTTTCTTTCATTATTGGTTGTTTTTGGTATCACGGCTTTACACACAAATTACAAATTCTGTATGCTGAAGAAACTGTTTTGTAAAACATCCTTATGATCTCAGTTACAGATTGAAAGGCTAAATAACTTGCTCTGCTGTCCTCTATACTACAGCCATGGAAGTTGTTCTGTAGTATCTGGGTTTTGTGTGTGTATGTTGGTGTATTTTTTTTTTTTCTTTAAATTAAATTGCATCTGTCAGAAGACGGTGGGATTCCTTCATCCAAGATACTGAGTTAGTGTGAAAAATTGAGTCTACTTCAAAAAAGGTTGTAAGATTTTAATATAAATTCTTAACAGAACCATGATCAAGATGGGAATCTCATGAGACCAAATTGTATAGGGAAAGCTTAGATCCTCTTTCTTCTGTAAGAGTGAAATTAAACTAGACAATCCTTTTCTGATCCACTCCCAATCTTATTTGAAACCTCAAAAATGCTAAGCAGTTAAGAACTATTATTAAAAAGCAGTGTATGAAAGACATCAATTAGAGTTGTGTTGTCTTTCAGCACTTGAGAAAAACCTAATTAAAAGGCCAAAAAATGAAGTAGGAGGCTAATTCTAGGCTTTTAATCTTTGGAAATATTGGCTTTGTTAGTACAAACAACTGGAATTGTTTGAACTGAGTTGTCAAACCTAGCATGAAAAATCCTGGCTTGTAATGGAAGTTGCATTTGATTATACTGAGTTCTGTCTGCTCTGTTCTTTTCTCTTCCAGAATAAGTAACTGAAGATGAATATTACTCTACATTTCCTCTGTAATCTGATGATCTCTGTCCTAGACCTTACTTCTAAGCAGCCTTATAACTTTATAATACCTCTCAGTAAAATTGAGTCCTGCTTTCCTGCTATGCTTTCATGAAGCCCGGCACTATGTCAGACAGGAATAAGGGGTTCATGCTGAAACAGGCAATCTACTTGGCTGCCACAGTAGGCTGCAGTCTTTTGAGCCACCACCACTTTTAGCATAAACCTTTGTTTGGTGTATTTAGCAAGTAGCTCTGTGTGTACGCTTATGTTTTTAAGTTGAATGATGGCTTCATTTTGGGCTGCAACAGGTCCTCTATGTACTCTTCCTTTGTGTTAGAGCAAACAATGTTCATTGTGTATTGTCCATGCTTCTGTTTCGAAGACTCTTGAGATGCAGTTTAAAGTGAAGATGATTTTCTAGTGCTTCTGTGTTGTGATGTTTCTGATTCTGTAATAAATTATTTATCTCATTTCTTATTTAACTACTTTATTATTCATCCCAGTAAAGGAAGTTAAATTACACTGGCCTATTTTTCATTGTTTTAATAAACTTTGTCATAAATGTTTCCTCTGTATTGTTGTCACAGTTGCTTTATAGTATTACAGACATAATTACGTTTTTTAGAACAGCATGAAAGAGGAATTCTAATCCATGTGCAGTGCTGGCATTCGAAGAGTATATCAGACATGGGTCTATAGCATTTTAAGGCTGGCAAGAAGTCTTATCACACTCCAGCTGCTCTGGTTGCATTTCCAGGGAGAAATAATTTAAATAGTGTGATAGAAAAAGGTAGATTTTTGCACTAAGGCTGCTTTAAAAATTGGACGAAACTCAGTGTAAACCTCTTGGCTAACTCAAATTACTGCTGAACCAAATTCATGCCTGCCTAATTCAGGGATAGGGAAAAGATCGGGAAAACATTGTATTGATCAACCCACTTCTAAATTTGCACTTCAGCCTTCCATGGGCAGAACAGCCCACCTGTGTGTCTTGGATTCTACACCATACAATATACTGTGTTGAAGAACTTTAATATTGTAAAGGTAATAGATTTTAAGTTGGGAAACTGAATTCAGGATGTCCGTATGTGCACATGTGTAGAATTTTAATCCCTATACAGTGATGGCACATTAGCATGCCTTACTTCGATAAGCAAATACCAGTTTTTCCATATTTCCCTACATCTCCAGGCTTCCACGCCCAGTTCACACATTCAGAAATGTTTTTACCCTGGGTCTCCTTATTGCTACTTGACTACCTCTTTGCCCAGGCAGTTCAGTTTTCCCTCGCACTACAAAGGCATAGTTCTTTTCCCTTCCTGTCTCACTGACACCAGACTTAATATCTAAATCTGTAAATCTTTCTGGTTCAGCTTCTGTTTCTTCTGAGCGTGATTTGTATCATGTCCTCTTCTGTACTGCCCAGCGATAAGCAAAGGCCATTGCAGACGGGTTAGCAAGTGCCTGAACAGTGTAGCCTGAAGTTGAACCACAGGCAGGTTGTTCACTGGGACTGATGAGGCTGAGCAAGTCAAAGAGGGACTGTGGGAGGTTACACCATACTCAATAGCAACAGGACTGTCAGAATATAGCTCATGAAAATAAAGTTTGTTTTTTTGGAAAGTGCATGAATAACTAATTTTTCAAAGTTTCACAGGGTGATCTAGGTTAGCCTTGAGTTTCAATGAAATGGCAAAAGGCATCTCCAGGGTGGAATAGGAGGTCTTTGCTCTGACTACAGTGCATTTAATGATCTCATGAGGGTTTATCAGGAATGGAGCAGTGGAATTGTGTGAATTTCTCCGTTCTCGCCCCCAGCGATATACCTGAAACAAACATCTGTTGCAGAACACTTAAGATTTCCTTTATGCAGAAAACTCTGGGATTTCAAAATAAGTCTTGCATCATATCAGGATGAAAAATCAGAATCTCAAAATTCCTGTTCTTTCAGCCAGTACGAATCAAATGACCACACTTTATCTAAATTTGGACAGAATATGACAATTTAACAATATTGGTAAAATTCACTATTTACCTTGTATAAAATAGCATTAGCATATTCAAATCGGAAAAAATATTCTGACAGAAATGCTGTGGCTGTTCTCACTCAGACTTAAAGGAGGGTCACTCTTCTGTTAGAGAAACAGAGTCCTAGTCCAGCTGTGGCTCTGCTGAAAAGCAGAATAGTAAGAGAAAAAACTTGTAGTATGGGAAAATGGGGGCCAGGACGAAAAAACAACTACAAACCAAACATAACAAAGAAATAAAAACCAACCACTGACCACACCCTCTCAACAAAGCAGGAGATGTGGCCATGGTTAGAAATATATATGGCAGCTCTGCTTCAGCTCAGTAAAGCTCTGCATTTGGCCCAGAAGGTGTTTTGCCTTTTGCCTCATCACATAATGGGGGCTCTGTAACTCAAGGTAATCCCATTCTCCTCAAAGGCGAATATGATCACACTATAATAGTTACTATTAAAAAGACCCAAAAGTATAGGAATTCTTGTGATACGAGTCAAAAATACATAGTGATTTTTCCAGAGACTGTTTTCCTGTATCAAACTGTGCTATAAGTACACATTTGTTGAAAGTGTGTTATTTAATATTCTATTGCTAGGTGCTATATTTCTGCTGTAGGCATAAATCTCCAGAAATAAATGTCACCACTCCCAGAATCCCTCCTTTGTGCAATGTTTTTAAGAATTGCTGAAGTTTGCAGCCTTTGTCTCTTTTGTGAATATTTTTATTTAAGTCTGAGTTTGTAAATTAATTATGAGTTTCAATTTAATATTAGTCTCTGTATTTATGAAGATACATGCATATGGAAGGTATCAAAGAAAAGATGTTTCTGTTCAATCTATTTATTTTCTATAGTAAGGACAAATGAAGTTCAGTTTCTTGGTAGAGTTTTGTTCTTTCTTAAAAAAAAAAAAAAAAAAAAAAAAAGATTTTGATATTAGCCATGTGGTAGCCTAAAGAACAAACATTTCCATTTTGCTAGTGTTTGAGTAGGAGCAGGCAAACCGTGAAACTTTCATTATCTGGCTAAATTCTGCACGTGGCTGACTCCTGCTAACAGCTGACTGAGATTATTTGGTTACTTTATACAGCAGTT